AAATCACAGATGGTGATAAATACATCTTTACTGCGCAACTCGTCGGGTTCTATATGTCAATTGTTTTCAACGTGATGACTATCGCACTTCTCATCTTGATGACAATTCTCCTCAAATACGTCTTTGACCCACAGCGTCACCATTTCGTCTTAGGAATTATGTTCGTCTCAACTTCAGCAATTCTGGCAGCTATCATCATTTGCACCGGCATTTCAGGGGGAATCGAAAATACTAATAGCACTCTTGTCGACTTAGAAAAGAGAAACGCAGTCGAAACATCGGTTTGTTGCATACTTCGTCTATTAACTATAAATTATAATTTTATTCTAAATATATATAGAATTTGTTAGTTGATTTTTATTGTATTAAACTGCATTAATAATTAACCATATTATTACTCTTATTCAAATTCTGTACTATAAAACACGACAAAATACTATAAATGAACTATATTAATAGGAAGCAACAGTGTTGTTTCGAAGAAGAGGGGTGTGTGTGCAAATCATCTGATGGAGTTCTATGCAAACCTTGTCAATTCAAGGGCGTAGTGTGTTTCTATACGGCTATTGGTGTGGATTGCATTACATTTATTGTTTTACTCACCGGGTGTATTGTCTCGTTTCTACATAAAAAGATCGAGGAAAAAATCGATCAGTGCGACGGAACAAAAACATCTGGGACGTACGACTTACTCGCTGATTGAATGTGTTTGACTGATAAACACGTATTATAACTTGTGTTTATTTTTTGTTATTAAAATGTTTTTCTAACTTAAGAATTTTAAATGGTTTTATTATTATTTTATTAATAATTTATTAATAATTTTAAAGACTTGGAGAAAAAGATACAAAAAAACAATAGGCACTCTTAAACATATTTTTTGTCTGTTGAGACTTTGTAAAAAATTTCATTGATTATTAGATTTTAACTAATAATTTTATTAAATGGTTATGAAAATAAATAATTATTAAAAAAAAGAACCTATTCTATATATAGTTCAACAATATAATAAATATTAGTTTGGTTTTGGTTGAATTGTCATTATATTTTAATTAAAAGAAAAGAGAGTCAATGAGATTGAGCATCACATCGTTTATATTGTGCATGAAAGAAACGATAGGCACTCTATTCATAACAATAAGTGGACAGATGGAATTTAATGAGAGATCAAATGAGGTCATTCCAAAACGTAATGTCAAATGGATCAATCAACATACAAAAACAAAGTGACAACGATAAGATTGAAAAAGGTGGAATGAACAAACTTACAGGGAGCAAAAATAATGGAACAAAAAGTGATTTTGTAATGGAACTAGACTCAAAGTCTTATGACCAATTTGAGCAATTCGAGACGTTCAACGTCTCTGAAGACCCAAATTTCCTCATCACAATGAAACCAATCAAAGAAGAGAGTGGAAAAATTGCTATATTGTCCATGTACAAATATGCCAATTGGTTTGACTACACACTACTACTTGTTGGTATTGTTGGCGCTATTGGTGTTGGTATACTTCAGCCACTGATCATGCTCCTCTTTGGAGAGTTAGTTGACACCTTTGACACACAAAACCTGAAAGGAGGATTCTTTGATGAACTTATTTGGAAAATAAACATAGGAGTTTTGAATTCCTTGGTCGATGCAACTTTTGTTCTTATAAAGAAAATGTGCTACTTTGCTATTGCGAACATGGTTGCTGGGATGCTCCAAAATGGGTGCCTGTTCTTACTTGGCCAACGCCAGGGAATGTTGCTTAAGAGGAGGTATTTTCGTTCTCTCATGAAACAAGATTGTGGATGGCACGACATTCACATGGGCGGAGAACTATCGTCACATGTTATGGGAGAAATCCAGACAGTACAAGACGGTCTATCTGTACATGTTGGCGGGTTGTTTCAAATTGTTGCTGCTTTTGTGACGGGATTTTCTCTTGGATTCACAAAATCTTGGGACTTGACACTGATAATTTTGATGGTGACTCCAATTATGATCCTTTGCACATTGATTATTGGATTCAGTAGCGTCTTTTTCACGAACCAGAACGCCGTGTTTTCAGCAGAGGCAAACTCACTTGCTGAACAGACAGTCGGCGCAGCACGAACAGTCCAGGCTCTCAACCAACAAAATGTCTTCATTGCCGAGTTTACAAAACAAACCAAAAGAGCCGAACAAAAGGCCGCTTTAAAAAGTCATGCTATTGGTCTCAGCTTTGGGACAATTATGCTTTTTATGATGCTGTCGCTTGCGTTGTCGGGATGGTATGGTAGTTTACTAATGATGGGTAAGGGGAAAACACCCAATTTCACAGCAGGGAGTTTTCTTGTAGTCTTCATGTCGTCTTTAATTGCAACTCAAAGACTTGCAACAATTGCACTACCACTTAACATTATATCATCCGCTCGGTCTGCTGCGTTTAAGGTTTACACAACAATAGAGAGATACCCCGACATCGACGAGAACTATGGAAAAGTCATGAAAACAATCAAAGGAAAAATTGATTTTGAAGACGTTCGATTCTCATACCCGATCAGACCACTCACAATGATTCTGGATGGACTTTCATTTACTGCAAAAGAAGGAGAGACAACTGCTTTTGTTGGGGAAAGTGGATGTGGCAAATCAACTGTCGTTCAACTTATACAACGAATGTACGAACCAACTGCTGGGCGCATTCTACTTGATGGAGAGCTGTTCACCAATTTAAAGACGAGTTGGCTTAGAGACCAAATTGGAATTGTTGGACAAGAACCAACACTGTTTTCGGGCACCATTTTTGAAAACATCTCCTACGGCAGCAAAAGCGGAACCTTTGTAAATAAAGAAGAAGTTGTCAAGTGTTGCAAAAAATATGGACTCGACAACTTTATATCGGCACTTCCGGACGGGTATGACACTGTTGTTGGCGAGCGTGGCGCGCAGTTATCAGGAGGTCAAAAACAGCGAATTGCGATTGCGCGTGCGCTTGTGAGAAATCCAAAGATATTGTTGTTGGATGAAGCAACATCTGCACTCGACACTGAGTCTGAACGCGTTGTGCAAGAAGCACTTGACAGAGCGTCTGAAGGAAGAACAACAATCATCATCGCACACCGTCTCTCAACAATCAAAAACGCTGATGTGATCAATGTTGTCGTCAGAGGAAAGATCGTCGAAAAAGGTTCACACGATGAACTCATGACAAAAAAGGGTATTTACTACCGAATGAACGAAGACCAAGAAATCCAAAGCGAAGAAAACTCCGAAAATGAAAACGAAAAAGAAAAGGACGACGCTGCGATTTTGGTAAAGAAGGAGGCGTCCACGATGTTTGATGATAAAGAAAGTGTTGAAAGGCTTTTGACACAAATCAAAAAAGAGCGTCGACGAATGAAATACTCGAATGTCTTAGCTGCATTAAGAGTGATTGTCGACAATTTCAAACACGAGTGGTTGATGTGTGTGATCGGAATTATCGGGAGCATAGGTGCTGGTGCTATTTTCCCGTTCTACACTTTGAAGTTCATCGACGCTTATATGTGTCTGATGTCGATAACTGGGACTGAGATGACCGAAACACAAAAGGCCATTATCAAGAACACGTGTTGCTACTTCGTTATTCTGGGGGTCTCTGCTTTTGTTGCATACTACCTGTACAATGGTCTTTTCTTGGCAGCTGGAGAAAAAATGGCGGGAAGGGTGCGAAGAAGACTCTACCGTAAGATTATGTACCAAGACGCTGGGTGGTTTGACCGCAGTGAAAATTCTGTTGGGTCTTTGGTGAGCAGGATAATATCAGATACAAATACAATGAAGGGGATCGGCGGTGAGCGGATTGGGTCAATTGCTTACATGCTCTCATCTGTTGGGTTTGCTCTTGGAATTGCGTTCTATTTCGACTGGCGTGTTTCTGCGTGTGTTTTGGCAGCAACACCAATCTTCATCATTTCGATTGTTGTGAACAATGTGATAAACATTATCCAAGCGATACCTTATGTTAAGCTCCAAGACAAAACCAATACCCTTTTCGTTGAGTCTGTTGAAGCCATTAAAACATTGAAGAGTCTGAACAAAACGGCTTATTTCTCTTACAAATATGTCGAGCTTGTGAACAAACAGAAAAAGCAGATGTATGTATGGTTCCCGATAATCACAGCCCTTGCTGGCCTCTGTCATTTCATCGACTTCGGGATCAATGCGTATGGATGGTTTATTGGAATCACATTCATGGAAAAAAACATCTCCACACAAATGGGACTAACAGAGTTTTTGATAGATGTGACACAACGTTTTGTGGCTTTCCAGAAGGGAATGATGTGTGTGATTTTTGCGGCGCAAGCCGTTGCGACATTTGGAAGTCTCATACCAGAAATGTCGCGAGCAAACGCTGCAGGTAAAAGGGTGTACAACACAATTGACAGAAAGCCAAAAATAAGTTGCACTGCGGACGGGATCGAACCCGAAACTATGACGGGTAAGATTGTATTAGAAAATGTATGCTTTAGATACCCAACAAGACCAAACATAAGTGTATTGAGAGGAATATCAACGGTGATCGAACCCGGGCAAACGGTCGCATTTGTTGGGGAAAGTGGGTGTGGTAAATCTACCATCGTGCAGCTCATACAAAGATTTTATGACCCAACATATGGAATTGTAAAAATCGACGACAATGATGTCGCAGAGTATCAACTCGGAAAGTTGAGAGAGAAAATCGGTGTTGTTGGACAAGAACCAACATTGTTTGCTGAGAGTATTTTCAACAATATCAAAAAAGGAATTCCGTTTGGAGAAACTGTGAATGATGAACAAATATTCGCGGCGGCGAAAATGGCAAATGCGCATGACTTTATATCGGCGCTTCCGGACGGGTATGACACTGTTGTTGGCGAGCGTGGCGCGCAGTTATCAGGAGGTCAAAAACAGCGAATTGCGATTGCGCGTGCGCTTGTGAGAAATCCAAAGATATTGTTGTTGGATGAAGCAACATCTGCACTCGACACTGAGTCTGAACGCGTTGTGCAAGAAGCACTTGACAGAGCGTCTGAAGGAAGAACAACAATCATCATCGCACACCGTCTCTCAACAATCAAAAACGCTGATGTGATCAATGTTGTCGTCAGAGGAAAGATCGTCGAAAAAGGTTCACACGATGAACTCATGACAAAAAAGGGTATTTACTATTCAATGGTTGTGAATAACCCATGAAGGATTTGATATTAAATAACAAATTATGTAAGTTTATTTTTATTGTTATTGATTGAATAAATTATTCTCAAAATCAAATAAAAGTTGATTTAATTTTTTGTTGTTCAAAAAGAGCGTTTTACCTTTCATAATATAAAAAACGATTTAATAATGATACAGGATTATTTATCTCATAATAATAAAATGATAAAAAGAACTTTAAAATTTCAATGGACAAACCTGCAAAAAAGGATCCGTTGGAAGATATGAAACCGCGCCCAAAGCCTGTTGAGCCTTCTGACAAACGGAAGCGCTTTTATATAGTGAAACTGAACCAGGTTATGGTGGAGCATTTTGCAAACCGCAAAGACCTGAGGGACGCTGTGGGTTTCAACGCATACGGCGAGATAGAGTCTCTTCGTCTTGAAGATACAGAAGAGATTCGGACCTACCAACTCTTTAAACGCCCATCACACAACAAATATTATTACCTTAAACAGACCAACCAATCTTTCCGTGTTTTGGGGAACACTGACGCGTACTTTCAACCCATGCAACAAACATGTGTGAGTAAAGTTAAAAAGCCGAAGCTTGTACTTACCGACGAAGTTGACGACGACCAACCGCTCAAGAGAATGCCATTGAAATCGCGCGACAAAGGAAAAGTCGACAAACGAGTGCGTATGGACGAGAATCAGTTGAAGAACAAAATCTTCGAAATGTTTTCGAAAAAGGAGGCGATGACATTTCAGGAGATCAACACGGAGCTTGACCAACCCGACCAATACCTCAAAACACAACTTGACAAGCTTTGTGACTTGGTTGCATCCCCGCCTCTTGGGATTAAAGAATATCGACTTAAAGCCGACTTTAAGTGACATATTTGTGTGTTTCCTTTCGATACAATACATTAACATCTTCCACTTCTCTTGAAATTGATTGATTCAAAAATCAGTTGAACGGATTTTTAAAGAAACTTTTGTACACATTTTCCTCTACATTTAATTTAATGAATAAAAAATTCAGTTGTGAAGGAAATAAAAAAATTGAAAAGCCAAAATTCAGACGAAAACGACGAGAGAAAGAAAACAAATGAATGGCTGAAAAAAAAGAAACTGTAAAAAATGGAGTGGATTTCATGAGGAAGACGTTCGTGTTCCGCAAAACGTTCACTAAGTCAAAAACTATGGGAGGGTTACAGGAAAGTCCAACAAGCTCGCCGACACTCAGCACTTCAACGAAGAAGTCATTGCCCAATTCGTTGAGTAGCGTCGTCCTTACAATACACGACGGGGTATTTAAAGACGGCGAGAGCGGGATATATTGCGTGTGTAAAGTGCTTGAGAGAAAGTACCGAACGATGACGACGGTGGGGAACAAGCCAATTTTTGATGAGACGTGGACTTTACATGTCCCGACCGACATCTTATCAGTCACTTTAGAGATCTGCAAACACACCAAAATGAATACAAGAAACGTCTTGGGAGCAGTTCAACTCAACTTTAAGCGGCTTGAAATTAACGTCGAGGTGACCGAGAAATATAAAGTGCTTTCCTTCAATTCGATTGAAATTGGGACGTTGAAATTGACGATGAAACGACTGCCGCAAGAAGATTTGCAACATTTGCTCCAAGAGAAGCCGAAGAAAGGGCGGTTCTCCTTGATCGACTCTTCTTTTGAAGATTTGGACGAGAAAAAGATGCGGACGCCACGCGGGAAAATCCACAGGAAGAAGTACATGCCACAAGCGCCATCAGAAAAGACTGAAGAAAGTGTTGAAGCGTGTGGACTCTTTAGTGCCGTCTTTACAGTGACTGTTGGTGACATTTCGGAGGATATTTGGCACTTCATGAAAAACAATTCGGACGCTTTTAGTGACATTGAACAGGTGGGGTTGACGGGGGTCATCACCAATTGTTATCCACCGAATAACGGAGGGAAAGTAGTTCCACTGAACATCTGGAATTTCTGTTTTGGTGACGGACTCAAAGTGAGACGAACAAATCAAAGCATTGAGGTGATTCCCTTTGTGATGACGGACGCAAATGCAAATACTAAGTACGCGTGCTTCTTAATAGCGTATTTCAAGATTGAGGACAAAATGATTAAGAAGATCCAAGACATCATTCCTAAAACGCCAAATGAGCTGTACGCGCCGTACGCCGTTGGAGTCACAAGTGATTTCCCATTGCTCGGGTTGATGCGGAAGTGGCTCAAAGCGCTTTATGAAGTCAAAGTGGAGAGTAACTTGAAATTCACGGACTATTGTCATGAAGTCATCTTCATGACTGGCCTCCCATCACCCGGAAAGTCCTTTCTATACGATTTCACAACACTTGGATTTAAGACTGAAATTAATCTTCCTGTGACAAATGGGATGTCTGCGATTCCAACGAGTGTTTTGCCGATGTTTGAGATGCTTGGCATCGACGGAGTTGTTGCGATTGTCTTAGCTCTATTAGAAGGAGATAAAGTAGTATTGTCATGTCGATCGAAGACTGCGTTAGTGTACACCATTGAGAATTTGAAGTCAATGATCTTTCCATTTGAGTGGTGCAACATTTGTATCGACTTAATTCCTTATTCGTTGTTGGACTATTTGACATCGCCAATGACGTATTTAGTCGGAGTACCTGCGGAATATAAAGACGAGGCGGAAGACATCATTTCGAAGGAAGGTGTGGTGTATGCGGACCTTGACAATGGGACTGTGCGAACTTCCGGGTACTTAAAAGAAGTTCCCAAAGAAGTGGAGAACCTCTTTTACGACTTGAAGACGGTCTTTAAAACCAAAGAAATGAAAATTGGGAATTTGAATAACGACTTCTTTGAAGAGCGATACTTTGCACACAAAAGTCACGAATTCAATTGCGCCGTGAGAATCTGCTTCTTCAAATTTATCAGCGAAATGCTTGGGAATTACAGAGACTACTTGGGATTCACGTGGGTGGCGGACGACGTCTCTGTAGTGTTTAGTAGTGAGGAGTTTGTGTACAACCAACCCAACGATAGAAGAGACTTCCTCCGCGCCCTTTTCGAGTCACAACACTTCCAATTTTTCATCCAAAACTTCCCAAAGCGGCACAACCACGTGTTTGAAGATTGGCAGATCAATCAAATGTATCACAGGAATACCGAAGAGCTCGTTGCGATGTATGAAAACAAGGAATACCTTCCTATCACCAAAATTGTACAAATTTCGACAGAGAAGAAGTTGGATGTGTCCCCGATTAATACACTTCTTTTGGACTGCGGGAAGTTGAAGTCGTTGCGCGTGAGAAATGAAGTTGTCAAGCAGAAAATTGAGCCCACGTTTTACTGCAACCATTTGGAGCTGAAGAGAACGGAGAAGAAGAGTGTGATCTTCAACAATGACATGATTCAATTTTGTGACAGTCAAATAGGAGAGCTTGTGTTAATGAACGAGAACGCGACACAAACGAAAATTGATACGGAGCCTATCTTCAGCTTTTTGTCGCAAATAGAAGGACGTAAAGTGTTTACATTGCGACTCCTTTCTAAATATCAACACTTTGAAATTGAACGGGAGAAGGGGAGAGTCTGCGCGTTTGTATTTGCGATGATCCTCGACTTCTTGAAACAAAGTCTGGTGTACGCGTATTCACAAAAGGATTATATGACACCACAAAACATAGTGGAGTGTGCGAAATCAATTTATAAGCGCGAGGGCGGTGGGGAGAAATTGAGGATCATCGACTTGATGCAAGGCTATGACATCTGGAATAAGATGGACGTGTGGAACAACATCTTTGTCAAGAGGTCATGCATCTCCAAAGAGATTATATATAAGGAACAGTTTGGTCTTGATCTCCCATTCAGGTGGGTCACTTTTGATCAATACCAACAGAAGGAATATCGACAAGCTGAGGTCGACTGGGTGAAGAAAGATATGAAAGAGATTCTGACGACTATGGGACTTGTTCGAACGAATCCTAAGACTGTTAAACAGTTTGTAGGGTATGCACTCAGTCACTTGAGGTTTGATGAATCGGTGAGAAAAGAAATAGATGATATGGTCCTTGATGTGTGTCAAGTGAAGACGGATGAGTACATGGATGAAATTGAAAAAATGAGGAGTGATATTAACAAAGTGTATGAAGGGGTGTATCTCACAGATTAATTCATTTGTTGTGTTTTTCATGCATACTGACCCATAGAACCAGATGGTGTCGATCACGAGGAAAGTATAGTTTTTTTATAATTCATATTATTATATGTATTAACAAATAGAACCAGAAGTGGTTGTATCAATAGAATAGTAAAACATAGTAAAAAACAACTTTTTCTAATAAGAACTGAATATAAAAATGATTGCCAAACAATTTGAATGGGGGGTGTTCTATGAAATATTTGTTGATGGGTTCAGTCATGACTATAAGGACTTAGAACACGTTCAATCGAAAAAACAAGGGGGTACTATAAGTGGGATAACACGAAGACTCGACTATTTGAAACAATTGAATGTGACGTCAGTGTTATTTACTACACCACCAACTCTGTCTTTGTCTTCACTCAAAAGTGTGACATCACAAATGCACTCGAACAACATTTCACTCTTCATGCGACTTACAGAACAACTGGAAGCCAAAAGTGAGGTATTTAATTCAGAAGTAGATGGGTTGTTTATCACACATCCACTTAACAACTCGGCACTCTGTCAATCGGTCTTCTCGCAATTAAATAAATTCAAAAAGCGTCCAATACTTATTGCAGATGAAAATTTGGGAGAGGCACTGAAGTACAATTCAAACGTATTAAAAACAGTAAAGTGGTTCCATGACTATATAGCTGGCTATTTCACACAAGAATGTCTCCAAATGTATTTGTCGACTAAATATGATGGTGTGGTCGATTACGCTGGTCAAAGAATAGCTCACAAATACTCTAAAGAACGTGGAGTGTTCAGGTTCTTACCAGAGTTCCTAAGTGCATTCTTTTACAACGCACATGTGTATCTCTACCCACAGAAAACTGTTCTGGTCACTCCAACATTCAGATCAAAATTTTCAAAAGACGAGATGTCACTCACAGCACGGTTTCCTAACCCAATGCTGATCCAGATGGGAGTCGAACTCAACCAAACTGACAAACACAAGAATACGTTATATTGGTCTGCTATCGATTATAACCAATCCGCCAAAGAAAGGTTCTACTACAGCATGAAGCTCTTCCAAACAAGAAAAGACACTGCGGCTGGGATTTCGACAATATTTACCATCAAAAACGACTTCTTAATTGACTGATTCATTATAATTTAATTTACTATAAAATATATTAGCCATCAAATAACATTTATTTGAAGTACAAAAATGTTCTTCAATCGAAAAATCGGAACATTAAAAACCCTAAATGAAAAACAGTAAAAAGTAAACGCTATGTCAAAACAAATAACGCTGAAGGAGGAAATAACAAATCTTCAGCGCGTAGGAAAGTCAACAGTAATAACAACGTCAAAGACGTCTCTTGCATTGTGGGACGTCGTGAAAACGCAAAGTCTAAAATCCGTTATGTTTCCACCCGGAGAAGAGGTGCTTAAAAGTGATGTGTATATCGGTTCAGGTGGATTTTCCGTGTTCAGCACGACGTCTAACAACGCGGTTCTTTTTATGACAAAGCAATCGTTCGATTATGCGAAAGCAGTGAAATGCCAAATGGGTGGCGCAACTCATTGTGTTCGTGCGGTCAGTGACAAAGTCTGCTATGTTGGTGTTGGCCCCAAACTTTACAATGTTTCATTTGAAAATTCTGTTCCAGCCGTCTCCCTTATATGTGCGTTTGCCGGCGCCGTTCTGGCAATTCATGTCACTTCTCAAAAATCTTATGTGATTTTTGAAAAGGGCGGAAAGATAGCGATTTCCAGTCTCGAAAACGGGAAAGTTGTCAAAAGCCTTGACTTGCCATGCGAAACGATGGACCTTTCATTTTTTGTCACCGAGTTTTACATTATAAATAAAAATGACTCTTTTATAGTTCCAATTAATTTAGACTCATTCCGACAAGCCGATCTTGTTTATAAAGCGGGTGACCAAAACGCGGACTATACGATGCTCTGTGGAGCAAAGACTCAACTCAAAAACCGTACGTACGGCACAGAAATAACCTCATTCCCAGCATCAGACCTTGGAGTTTTCGTGGATGGCTATGTTGTGATGTATTTGAAAAAAGAGAGTACTTTGAAGATTGAGGCGGTAACACAACGAGATTGTTTATTTTCCTCATTACTCAAAACTGCCGACGTCAAGCAGGCAATCTCATTTGACGATTTGAAACAGAGAAAGGCAATGGAGATTGAGAATGACGGAACAACCACTACAGATGAGGACGTAGAAAAGTTTGTAAAAGGTGACGCACCAACTAAAATCAAAATGATCAACAACTGGGTCGAACAAACTAGCCCAACTCTGTTGCTGGTCTGGGAAGTGTTGGAGTCTCGAATGAAGGAAGATTCGTTCTTTAAAGAGAACTGGGGCTGGTTCAAAGTTTTTGTCCAGACAACCTTTACCGCTGATACCGAAAAGGTTTTCGAGGAGTTGAAAAAACAGAAGAAGGTCGACGAAATGCTGGAGCTTGCGATAGGAATGACGGAATTGCCCGACGACGTTTTGGTCGATATGTTGAAGACGTGTCTGAAGGATAAAAAAAGTGATTTGGCATCGCTCCTCAACAGAAACCTCAACACACAAACCACTTCAACATTGGTACTTTCAAAATTGTCGTCTGAAGAAGCAAAAACTCTTTTCGAGTTCCTCATCGAAGAAATTCAGACAGGAGACAATCCCGTTTCATACACAGTAAATTGGTTAATTGCGTTGTTGGACGCGAAAGCTTCTTTGATGATAACCGACGAGTCCTTTGTTGAGGCACTTAGAAAAGCCGAGGGCATTATAAACGGACAGGTCCACTTAGTCGATCTGTGTGAGGAGCTTTTCCCATATGTCGACCAAGTCATGCAAAAGCGAGAATTACCTTTGAAAGAAAAGTCAGACTATGTTGTGTTTGATTTGTTCTAAATGAACGTTGATTGCTTTTGTTTCATGATATATTTCAACCAGTGTATTTTTGGTTAAATAAGTTAAATCTATTATAACAGTTATAATTTATATTATTATAAATAAATTATTATAATATAATTATATTATAAATCAATAAGAATACTATTGATAATACTATAGTACAAATCTATACTTAATCAATAAGTATACTACTTATACTATATTAAAACTAAATATATTATTCAAAATGTAAAACTAGTAAATTAAATGAAAAAAAATTAAAAGAAGTTGATTTAGAAAACGAAATCGCTTGTTGGAGCAGCTGGTTGGCCCATAGGTTGGTTAGCCATTCCCATTCCACCCATAGCGCCTTGTGGTTGTTGCATTTGCATTGGCTGATTCATCATACCTTGCATTGGTTGGTTCATCATACCGACTTGTGGCTGTTGCATTGGCATCATTCCCGGAGCGGCTGGGAGGGCCAACATGCCGAATGGAGTGCCTTGTTCGGACACCTGTGGTTCTTTCTTGGCTTCATTTCTTTCCTTTTCGAGCTGTTCGAGCTTTTTGATTCTGTCGTTAGTCTCCTTCATCTTTTTGCACATGAATGGCATAGTCTGGTCCATTAATTTGTTCTTGTATCCAAGTGAGAGAGCAACTTCTGCTGGGACATAGTCATAGCAGACATCGAGACATTCACCGAACGATTCGTCCTTTTTCTCCTTGACGAAGTATTCCAACAACTCCCCAATCTTGTCTTCGTCCTTTGACTTCTTAGCAATTTGCATCGCGTCGCTGTCAAATCCTTCCTTCATGCAAAGGTCCATTGCGCTCTTATAATCATCATATGAACTGTACAAGTAAGCAGCAATCTTTCTGAACTCTGGGTCTTCGTGTGCCTTCAATCTGTTAGCCAAAGCAGTCTTGTTGAAGTTACTGTTCTTTTCGATTAAGCTCTTCAAGCTCTTTGGATCCTTATCATCAATGAACATGTCGATGCAAGCTTGGTTGACGGCGTCGTTGTTCAAATCAAGACAATACAACAAGTAGTCTCTGATTGTGTCAAGGTCTTTTTCCTTTCTTGCAATAGAAATCACTTGGGCGTGATCACATCGGTGTGCAACAGCAATCAACATTTCGCAGACTTTATCGGATTTTTCTTTCAAATAGTACGACTCGGCCTTATAGATCATATCAATTCGTGGGACCTTTGTTAACAAGTCTTTCATCAACAAGTGATCGAAGCAAGCGTCTGGATATAAGATCATCGTGTCAATAGCCTTAACTTGGTCTTCCTTCACGTACAAGAAAACAAGTGCTTTCCATTGTTGGTTCATGTTGACCGTTGGAATGACTTTCTGGCATTGGATCTTCTCGATGTACTGCTTGAGGTAGTCGTACAATTTTTCTTCTTTGTATTTCGAGTAAAGAATAGCCAACTCAGTAAACATGGAGATGTGTGCGTTCTCAAGTTTTAAGCCGGCTTCCAATAAGTCGATGATCTGGTCATAGTATTCATTCTTTTCATAATAATACACCAATTCACTAATCTCATCACCAGCGACAAGAATGTTCAACCCAGTGTCTTTGGCCAAATCAAATTCCTTGGCATCAACACAAGCAAATGTGACTTCTTTCCAAGTTCTTGTTGAGTTCGCCTTTTTGGCAGCTTCGACGGCGGCAGCAAAGTCTTTCAACTTAATCAAGCAACTCGCCATCTTGATGTAGTTGTTCAAAGATGCATACAAAATCTTAGCGGCAAGGTACATCTCCTCGTTGAAGCATCTATCGGCAACGGCAGATAAATTGGCGCAGTTGGCGTTCTTAAGGAACTTTTCGATCTCTTCAGTCTTTTTCAATTTAGCATAGCAGTACAAGATTTCAGTCTCGACAATAGAGTCTTTAGTCTGTTCCTTGCACATGTTGAGGTATGTGACCAAATCTTCATACGATCCATCTTGCTCAGCAATGTCAATAACTCTTTGTCTCAATGAAATGTCTTGGGCCTTCAAGAGTGAAGTAATAGCGTCTTTCACCTTGAACTCGTCCAATTGAGCCTCACCAAGTTTTTTATACAACAATGGCATCTTTGATCGATCGGCAAAGTCTTTTGCTCTTGTCAAGTCCTTAATGTCTCTCAACAATACATCCATAGCAAGTTCTTTTAAGTCGAATTTCGTGTACACCTCATACGCCTCTTCAAACAAACTGTCATCAATGCAGCTCTGTCCAATCTCTTCAGCATCGTAGTCCTTCAACTTTCTAATATAATCCATTACTCTATTTGGAGCAGCCTTAATAGATGTCTGAATCAGCAACTTCTGGAGGGTTGGGTTGTTGGCATACTCGGGATTCTGTGTAACAAGCTTGTCGAGTAAGTCAATAAGATCATTTGGCAAGTCGTTGTTCAAGAAAGCTTGGACGGTCTTCAAAATCTCGTTTGGATCTTTGCAGTCTGGAAGAGCGGTGTGAATGACTTGTTCAACAACATTCTTTCTGAACTCATTCTCTGGTTTGAGTACTTTATCCCAGAGTCCAAGGTCTTGTCTTTCGACCAAATATTTAGCCTGGTACTTGAACAAGTTGTGTCTGTTTGTAACATCAATAAGTTCGTCGTCCAAATTCTTCTTCTTGTAACAGATATAAGCAAAGTACGGGTCTCTATCTTCACAGTATTTACCAACAGAGAGTGCGTCATAGTACATATCGTTGTTCAAGAACTTTTCAGCGTCTTTTCCTTGGTCGACGTAGACTTTGGCCAAGGCAGTATGGAGTGGGACGTCTGGAGATCCTTCGGAGAGTCTTTGTTCCAACCATGGCAATAAGATGACAAGTCTGTTTCTGGTCTCACAGGCCTTAATCAACTCATCTGCTGGGCAGATACCTCCAACAGCATTGATTAAACTTTGGACATAATCTTCACCACATCCACAGTCCAACAGAGCACCAACAACCAACGGAGTGTTCATTGGGTTGATTTTCTTGACATAAGCCTCAATGAATCGATGGGATCCATTTTTGTACAAGTACTGAGTCATTTCTTCAACATAATTGAATCTGTCGCAGACAATGATGAACGGAATTTGGTCGGGGATCTTCGAGTTCTTCAAGAACTCTTTGACATCTTCAGGCTTATAGACACTGTTCTCCTGAACAATTCGAGCAAGTTCTTGGAATTGGCCAGCTCTTGCGCACGCTTCGATGTACTTGAAAACAACAAGTGGGTCTTCAGTGTTGTTGACAATTTGTGACAAGAAGTAATACAACCCTTCCCAACAGTCGAACTTTTGGAGCAAATCAATGACCTTATCATCTCCAATGCCTTGGTGGAACTCAAGAAGGATTTTAATGATGATTTGAAGGTTTCCTCTCGGGTTTGTTCTCAATAAGTCTTGCAAGACCAAAATTGCTTCTTCTGGAGCAAGCTTTCTGAATGCTTCAATGATCAACTCGGGTGGGATAGCAGCAGCGTGTGACAAGACTCTTCTGATATCATCAAACTGATCAAAGATCTGAAGGGCTCTCTTGAAAAGACCGGCTTGTTCGCACAATTTTCCAATTCTCTGCTTGTCGAAGTGTTTCAGCATGTCGTTCTCAAAAATGGTATCAGCGATCTGTGGAGCGGCAATTAAGTTCATTTCAAGGATTTTAGTTTGGACGTTGGCGTACTGTTCGTCGTCGCCATTCAATGTATCTAACACCAAAGAGGTGATCTCTTTCAAATATCTGTATCGAGCAAACAAGTCCAATACAGCAATGATATCAAGTCCGTCATATCCCTTAGCTTGAATAAGAGAATTGGCGTATGCTCTTGCAGCTTCGCCAGACGATGGCAAGATCTGGTTCAATATTTCAAGGTAGTTCTCTTGGAACCCAGCTTTTTCGCAGTAGGCAACAATTTTATCGGACTGTCCCATCTCAGCAAGTGATTGCACGACTTTACCAGTGGCGTGTGCTTTTGAGTAAATCATCAAAGCAAGTCTTTGGTCGTATGGCTTCACCAAATCACCGGACTTCTCAGAGCACTCGATCTTGTCGTTAACAATCCAACTTTCAACGGCAGCCAATTTGTTCTGTGGGATCAACAATTGGATTAAAGTAAATCCTTCAAGTGCATTGAGTGATCCGCCCTCAAGGATAGTTGCAAAGTACAAGAAAAGTGGTGGGTTTTGTCCTGGTTGTGCTGGCATCTGTGACAATTTGTTGATAGTGGTCGAGTTTCTAATGAGCTCTCCCGGAGAGTTAGCAGCGATCAATGCGGCTTCTCTGATCTGTCCAGCAGCAAGTAACGTGTTAAATCGTTCAACAAAGATCTCATCAGCACCCGGCAAGTTGCATCTTGCGGCGATCTTGCATCCAAGTCCAACATTGTTCAGAGCTTTGCACACAAATGGAACGATCTTGTCTGCTTCCAACGAAATAGAAGTGATTCCTCCTTTCTTTCCAGCCACGAAAATACCGTCAAGAGTCTGATTGTATGCAGTGAGATAGACAGTATCGTCAAGAGCTTTTCCTTGGAACAGTAAAGTTCCGTCGCCTGCATAGAAGCAGTAAATGAATCCCATTCTGGACACCATCATAATAGTCTCAAACTTAATCGACACAACTAACCCAACAATGAAATCAGCAGCTTGTTGTGGTTGTGTTGGGATATCAATAACTGTATTGACATTCTGCTTATTTGGGTCTCCCTTAACCACTTCAATGAGTCCGAGTCTTGGGCTTGGGAATTTCTGAGCAAACGCGAACATCACGGACGGTTGTGCCGCACCGTCGAATTTGTAGTTATAGAAACACGCTGCAAATCCGTCGATGATCTGCGACGCGTTCTTCTCAATTGAGAACAACTGAATCTTCCCGACGATTTCATTGTTTCTCTGGAGAAGTGCAATAATAGCAACCCACTTCTCGGTTGGGTCGATCTTATATCCAATGATTTGTGCGGCACTCAATTCAGCGTGTCTATCTACTACTTTCTTAATTGGAGCAGTCGGTGTGCTTAAGTCAAAGTGGAAGACAGCCGTTGCGGTAACTATAGCAAGAATGTGTTCATTAGCCCACTTCCAGAAGACAAGTGGACTCTGGAGGGTGATGTCAGCCACTTTTGACTTCGAGGAGATGTCAAACATCTGGACAGTTGTTCCTGAAGCAACAGCCATGATCTGGCGGGTTGGATGCATGATAGCAAAATCAGCAGCGCACGAACGAGAGTCCGGGCTGTTGATCTTATTTGTCGAGAAGATCCTCACGCGCTTTTCTTCACCCTTTTCGAGAACAGTGAAGAACTTATCGCCTTCAATTGCCACGGTATTAAAACTGATTGATTCCGGTTTGACAAATCTGCTCAAATTGACAACTTCTTTGATTGTGATTGGGGGTCGATTCGCCATTTTATCTGATCTTTTCAAGATGACACTTTTCAAGTTTCGCGCGGTTGGGGGGAATAGAACACCTCTTTTTCTTCTTTTCACGCAAGCAACGAACGGCGGATCTCATTTTTGCATTTCAACTGTCAGACACTATTTTGTCGCACTCTTTGGTATAGTTTTGTTATTATTTGAAGTATAAGAAATATACTATTAAAACATGGAAATAAATTTCTTTGTTTAAGGAAAAGTTTGTGAATTGTGACGTGGAGACGAATTAAGTACATTAGATTGTATTTTGAGAAGTGATTCGGCATTTGTGGGCTTCTTTTTGGTTCATATGAGGACTTGAAGACAGCCAATCTCAATTATAGTCTTTTTTTAGTTAATTACCTTCAAATTTAAATATAATTTCTTTTACTATATTTACAATAATTGGTGACGTATTGATTCTTGGAAGTACTTCTTTATAATATCATTTATTATTATTTTTACAAAAGAATGGCCATGCAAAGGAAGAGATTTTCTTTAAATCTCCCACTCAATGAAGAAAAGAGAAAAAAGTCGGCTTTTGCGGCCTTTTCTGTGCAAAAACGAAGGTGTCAAAAAAACACCAAAAAATAACATCCCAAAAATGTTTTTATAAACTTATTTGTTCAAAGACAAAAATGAAAAAAATTCATTTTTGGGAATACTATCGATTTATATATCAATTGTCTCGACTTTTTGTTTTCATTATTGGGTATCAAATTAGGTACTCTTCCAATATAAATCCATTACTTTGAACTCTTTTTTTCAGCCTTTTAATTTTTCATACAAACAAAAATGGCACCAAAGACTTTTTATGACCAAAATATCACTTTCAAGTGTTATTTTAATGATATTGTAACCAATACGAATTAAATGCCTTCACAAAACAATAAAAAACAAAAGGAATAACAAAAACAATACCATTTTCATTCTTTAAAATTGTTTTTCCAAATCGTTTCATTGAGCAACAGAGCCAGTGCCGACGAGCAAAGAAGTGCACACGTGTTCATGATTGTCACGAACGTCATTCCCATTTCTCGTTGTTCCTTTTTCATTTTCTTTTTAAGGATCCAATACATTACTTGGACATAGGCGCACCCTCCAATAAGACCGACTATTAAAAGGATCCCAATCATGACTCCGATCCCCCATTCATCTACCATAAAGTGTTCTGCGCCTTGCACGCACATCAACACGCACAATGAAAATTGGAAGATTGTAAGTATCCAGACGGGTTTCAATTTGAAGAGTGGTAACGAACTTCTCGAGATGAACACGCCAAGTTGGTAACAAAACGCCAAAATCTCATAGAAATTTTTGAGGAAGAAATTGTCACTTGTTTTTGCGGCTTCTCTGTCCATCGAGACATATATCGCCGATGGATTGATGATATATTCAAAGAAGTACACAAGACTTAAATTGATCCCAAGCCACCACGTCAACTTGATACCACTTAATAACTTTTGCCAGAATGTGCCTTCTTCCTTCTCTTCATCTGCAAACATCCCTTTTTCATCTTTATGTACTTCGCGCTGTTCTGAAGTCTCTGAATGACTCTCTTGAGTCTCTCCATGTTGTATTTCGTCACTTTGAATGGCATTTTCTTTCAAATTATCTATCACTAATGGCTTTGATTCACTAGGTGTCGATGCTTCAGCGTTTTCTTGTTTCTCCGCTTTCTTCTCGTTTGCTAGGAGATCCTCCGGAGTGGGCGGTTTGATCATAAAGAAGAAGACTAACGCATAAATAACACACAAAGGTGTTAAAGTCGTGAAACTGATGGTATCAGGAACATTCAATCCTGAGTAAAACAAGTACAACCCACTCCCAGCTACTCCAGCAAAGCCTGTCCCACTGGACCACCCATTCACCATCTCAGACGGAAAACGCCCCGAGTAAGATAAGATGACTGACTCGGCAAATGACTGAACTCCTCCAATGACTAATATCATACATAGTGCTAAGCCAAATAACACGTAAGACTCCGATTGAGTATATTCCTGTAAAAGAATAGCCAAAACTATCCCAAAGAGACCAATCAAGTTGAAAATGGTTGAAAAGAGCAGTCGAATTTTGATGGGAATTTTGTAGAGGAAAAGCATATTAAAAATTCGAAGAATTAAACCAGCAAAAGTGTTGCACCACAAAACAAGTGGATTCAGCGCATCGGCGTGGAAAAAGGAACACAATGAACTCGCAGAGGAATTCACAACAACAAAGTTGATGTTATTGATTGTCCCTATTATAAAGAACCCAAGATAATTGCGGTAATAGTCCCACCCCTTTGTCAGATGTAAGAACTTCAGAACACGATTCACCATCCTTTTAAAGTTCTACAAGTCGAAGTTCTTATTTCCTCTGAAGTGTTTTCATTAAAAATGGCAAAGCTTTTATTGAGCATTTATTATTGCTAAGACGTCTTTTTGGTATTAGGAGATTCTATTTGATGATGAAGATGGCTTTGATTGGTGACTTTGTTATAATTTTGCCAATAATAAAAATCAAATTGAGAAAGAAGAACAAATCTTATTCAATTGGTTAATGAGTACTAATCGTATAATATAGTATGTTTGTATTAATATTTAATTTAAATTAAACTATAATCAAACGGATAAGTATTTACTATTATCAAAACAACGAAAATGGTTGTTTTGTTAATAAATAAATAAACAAATGTTGTTAAATTTGTTTTCTTATTAAAATCTATTCAAAAATTAACACAACAAACGATTTTTTTTATTGTTTTTTACATAATCTCAAAAGTGTTTGTAAATTATTTAAAATATTAGATATAATATAATTATTATTTGAAATATATTACACTTTTAAATTGAACCCCATAATTCTTGTAAAATGGTATTATATAAAATTAATAAAAAGGAGAAATGATTAAAAGGGAAAGTTTTCAAAACAGTAATAAATGTTAATTCATTTATTATCAAATGATGATAAACACAGACCTGTTCTGATACAATAGGAGGAACAAAACTGCATAATTATCTGATGATATTTTTTGTTTGCAACTTTATTATTAAGTTCATCAATAATACAATATTTCAAAAATATTAATATTTTTATTATTTAGTTTAATACTTCAATTAATATCTAATAATTTAATTATAATTTATTATTATTGATTTCAATACTATTAGTTTATTAATTAAATAAATCATTTCATGAGTAGCTTATAAATAGACGCCGTTTCTTTGAAAGTACTAAACTTCTCACAAAAGGCAATGATCCTATCGTGCACATCCCCTTCCACCTTCTGATCCATTCGAATAAACGTGTCTAAGAAGTCACATACGACTCTGATATACCTCTTGTTATTCTCTTTTTCTTTCATTGTGAAATCAACCAATCTTAGTGTAAACGACTCAAACGTCTTAGCATTTTTCAGTAAGAGTTCTTTGACTGTTGCGACCACGTTTAAAGTTGGTTCCATTTTGATGATTGCAGTCACAAAATTGTGTTCCGAGTCTGTCCCAACTACCTTCTTTAACACCTCCGAAGCTATTTCTTTGTTATTTTCAATCACCGAGCTGATTTGACTTGGAACGAAGTACTTGACTATATTCTCCTCTTCCAACAACTCCATCAATTCGTCCTTATCGTCGTCATCCAATTTCTCTGTCGACGCGCGTCTGACCAAATTCAGAGTCTCTGCTGATATTTGAGTTGGATCAAAAATTGGCATAAAATTGATTTCTGGAATTAAGAACATCAACTCGTCATGTCCAGGCATTAAGAGTGTTGGTGTTGGAGCATTCAAAGGAGGGAATATAGGGCCAGGAAGAGGGATGTCATACATTTTTAAGATATCTCTGTCTTTTGGGGCGGATTCGTCGGGGTCCGAAAATATGGGTTGGACTGATGGGACGTTACATGGAACATTTGTCTCATACTCATTAGTTAATGCGGTGATATCTACTGGAGGGACTTGAAGTTTGCCCATTGCAATAATTTCGCTGAGAGATTTCTATAGTGTTAAATAACATAATTATAACTATAAATTATAATATTTTTAATAATAATAATTATAATACTTTAAATAATTATAATTATAATAATTTAAATAATTTTCAATATAATAATGTTTTTGCATTGATACAACCATATATTATATATATATAATATTAATATTATTAAATAATAGAACAAACATCTTGTGGGCATACTGAAGCAAACAACGATAAAATGAACTGTTTGTCGAACGCTTCTGCCTTTTGGAGCTCTTTGACAAGTACCTTAAAGAATGGGTTTGACGTAATAGAAGCTTGTTTTGAGAGTATAAAGCAGAGAGTCAAAAGTTGTGTTTGTGTGAGGAGTTGTGAGTCGAGTAAAATAGTGAGTCCGGTGAGTAAAGAGAAAACCTCTGACCGTTGAACCAAATGAGTGATTGAAGTGTTAATAGCGTCGAGTGTCTTAGTGTTATCGTTTAGAATTGATAACGCGTCGACTATTTGTTGTGGTTGGGGCATCTTCTATAATTTAATAGATTTCAATGTATTAAAATAGAATAACACAATTAAATAGTATTTTTATTATAATTAATACGAAAAACAAATAAAGAGACAAACACCAATAACTTGAGTTAAGACTAAAATTTGTATATCTTTAAAAATTAGTCATGGAAGTTTATAAAAAGAAGAGTTATGGAAGAGATTCATTTTACGACTTCTCAAAACAAACCCACTACGAGTTTAGAGACCTCAATCAAATAACTGCCGAGACATTAAATAATATACTTCACCAAAACGCGTGCCCTGGAAACTACATTTTCTTGAAGACAGACGATCCAAAAGAAATCCAAACTATATTAGATAAGAAAGACATAAGAGGAATACTCCAATTCTACCCGGAAGGCGTCGATAGTATATACTTGTGCTATACAGAAGAGAAAGACTTTCAACAACAAGTGAGTGGTATAATGAGTCAGATCATTGTTACGTATTATGATAACTATACAAGTCTATTGCTTGACTGGTCGAGGTTTGCGAATACAAGATTGGGACCAAATGGTGAAAACAAAGCTTTAGCTGTATTTCGAGACGAAAACAATTATTTGGCATTCAAGAAGATGATTGAAACACTGAAGAAAATACACTGCGACTATAGCGTCAAGCCAGAATACGAGTTCGACCTGGTTGACTACAACAGCATTTCGTTGTTTGACTTGGACGTCGAGCATTTGAACCAAAGTATTTACAGGCAATTCGTCGTGAATGTCGTGAGTTGTAAGGACGAGAACATTGCAACGAAATTTCCCGAAACGTTAATCCGGAACAACACCGTGCAACGCCTCATCGACTCGTTCCGAACAACAAAAGCCATTCGCGTGAAAAAGTCCGAGTTGCTCACAACTCCTCAAAACATCGAAATTGTAACAAACGAAATTGCTTCCTTCAGACATTTATTCACAATATCGACAAAAGAACACACATCGTTTGAAACTATCTTCTGGGAGCGAGCGAAAAAGTATCCACAAGACTCGGAAATTTATCAGTTCCTTGTCAAGTGGTATGCAAAGAATGGGCAACTCTTTTGGGTGTATCAAATCATTCGAATGATGTGTTCGATCATTTCAAGTACCTTCTTGGCTTACTTTTTGGCACCAAACCATTTGGATGGAATCACGGAGATCATGTCACACAACATTCTTTTAAAGAAGTGTAAACGAACTGACTTAGCGAAAGGGTATGTACCGGCAACAACAAACGAAGATATGGACTATCCACAAGTCTTAAAGGATAAATTGTGTGAAGTGTCGAAAGTGACTTACGTCAGACAAGTCGTGTTGGCGCTCTACATATCGGATATCACATCCGACTTGATGAGAATGCTTCTGATTGAACGGAGAGGCCAGATCGTCGACCTTGTATTCAACGACAGGAATCTGAGCTCACACATTTACTGTCTCTTTGAAAAGGGCAGTTTGAAACAACGGTTTAAAGTATTAACGTTGTGTTGTTTGATGATGAAAACCATTCAGAACAAGAGTGTAGGAGCAATCAAAGACATAGATAGTCAATATAGTGCGTACTCTGAATTGAATGTCTTTGAAATGATGATTGAAGCGTTGAAAGAAGAGGGGTACGACATGAGGAGTAGAGGTGTCGATTTGATGCAAACGATGTTATTAGTCGACCAACAACGATTCAATCAGAAGATGTATATAGTGAATTCAAAGGGGGAGTATCCTATTCAAATTGTATTACACCGGTTTACTAAAGAGACTCACCGATCGTTGATCCTTAGTGAGTCTGTTGTGTTACAGAATTTACTCCAAATGAAGGGATTTACGTCGAAGGGAATTACAAAGACACAAGCGTTGAGAGTGTTATACGAATTAAAAGTGATCGACGAGTTGAGCCGGCCACTCTATAAACTTCCCATGCAGAACGATGACACCATCAAAGAGGTGTTAAAGTCCATTGGACCGAATTACGACTGTTTGGTCATAGAGACCATTAATGTATTAACAACGTGTTTGATGGCACATAAACGACTTGCGTTTGGGCATTGGGTCTTATCGCAACACTTGTTGGACTATTACGAGCGATTTTTGTTCTGCAAAGACACGATGTTATCGATCAGTATCATCCATTCAATTAGAAAGTTAGTTGAGACGGAGCCGACGTTTGCGAAGGTCTTTTGTGGGCATCCGATATTTGGCACGATGTTGTTGAGGTATTTTGAACAAGAGAACAAATCGAATGTGGCGTATTCCGCGATAGCTTCGTTGATCGAAGATATCACAACGAAGGCTGGATACGATTATTACGCTTCTGCTATCTTCAATGAGATAGTTGACATTAATAGGACGGGCGACATGTCGAGAGTGTTGAACAACCTTCTGAAATATCCATTCAGGTTTGCGTGTCAAATGGATGGCAGAGAAATCCCGATACCAAATGAGCGACTTGAAATACCCGTTCAAATGCGAAAGGTTGAAATGTTGTGTGTAGGGGATTTACTCGCGAGGACGACTGAAATAGGGGAGAAGGGGTCTTTTCACTTTTATGGTGACAGCGCTATGGACGAAGGCAAGTAGCTGTAATTAGTTCTTTTGGTTGTTTTTGGAGTTATTTGTGAAGTAAAAAAATGATGGAAAGAACTGGTCACCATAGAAGAGCGCTGACTAATGGAAGACGGACTCGACTATTATTACACAAGTCCGGCTAAAGAGAAGGAGCAAAAACCTAATGACAAACTGATGGTGATTGTCTCACTCACTATAATGTTTGGGATATTTATATTAAGTGCGATTGGGTCACTCCAAACGTATTTTTTTCGAAATGGTGTCGAGACTGTTGTAGGGTTAATAGGGTTCCTGTTTTTTGGTGGTGCTGTGTGGTCTTTTTTTAAAACTGCAACGACTAACGCAGGAAGAGTGAATGGATACACACCAGTCGCTTCAGTTGATGAGTTGGAAGCTGCCAAAAAGCGAGTGGAAGATGGTGTGTTGAAAAACAAGAAAACGTGTGATATGATGTGTAGAGTGAGGTGGTGCCCGAAGTGTGAGTCGTTTCGCCCATCGAGATCGTATCACTGTAATAAGTGCAAGATGTGTGTTGAGAGAAGAGATGTTTGTGATACGTTGATAATATTATTTTAATTAAGAATTTAATATATTTTAATATAACAAACAGCATCATTGTCCTTGGGTCAAGAATTGTATAGGTAAAAACAATTACAAGTACTTTATACAGTTTCTTCTTTACACGGATTTAGCTTTAGTTGTTTCTGTAACAGTCAATATATTTGTTTTAGTCGATTCAGTCGGTTATATGGTTTGTTTATATTAACTCTTGTTGTTACTTTATATTCTTATTAATTTATTAAACAACAAAACACTAATTGTAGACTAAAAATAAAACACAAGACGTGTCACTGTATGCATTCACAACAATCACCCCAAGCGCAACTGGACTAGCATTCTCAGTCTTATTGCTTCTCTCTATAACACTTCTCTTAATAAATCATTTATACAACATTGGAGCAAATGTGACTTTAATGGAAATTATTGAAAAGGAACGTCTTCTGTCTTTGAATACAAAAATGGAGTCTTTAGTCAATGAAAGAGTACCCTCATACGACAGAGGTATTGCCAATAATTTCAAAGAGGTGTTTGGCTCAACATTTCGCGAGTGGGTTCTCCCTGTCAAACCAAAAAGCAATGTATTAGAAGTATAATAATTTTTTATTAAATTATAGTATTTGTCATTCGACGCTTTGAACCAGAATATACTATTAAAATAGAATAATAAAAACTATAAATTAAAAACTAGAAAAGTAGTCGTGAAATGGTACTTACCACCCATTCACGCATTCCTTCACTTTGCGCTCTTCCATTTATCGATCATTTTCTGTGTGACTTTGTGTCCTCTGCAATATGCAACAAATGTCGAGCATTTAACTTCTTGTAATAACTTGTCTGCGGGAGCTTTGAGGAGTTGCATCGCAATGTAGATATCGTCGCACTCTAGGATGTGATGTTTCAAGTAATGGACAATTGCGTTCGCAATCGTGAACATCGCTTTATATCCGTCTAACAAACAAAAGTCGAAAACCGCATAGAGAAAGTCGCACGGTAAGATTCGCGAGAACCAGACCATATACCAATCAAACATGTAGACGTGGATGTCCAAGTCCAAATATCCCAAAGCTACTAAATGCCGATATGACGTGTGGTGAATGTTTTTCAGCATCAAGTCGTTGATCTTTCCCAATTCTATCAGCCCAGGAAAGCCCACTTGGAGGCATGGCTTCAAATTATACTTCGGGTTATTCAAAATCATTTCCATCATCTTATAAGTCGCCAACCGCTCTTTCAATATCGAAAAGAGGATTCCAGCGAAATCACTCATTCCTTGTGTATATCCCAAGTCATTGTTTTTCTGTGATATCGCTCGTAAAATCAAAAAGAGCTCTCTTCTGCCCATTTTAAAGTCAGTTTGAAACAAGTAGTGCAACCCTAATGTGCGCTTCACGTCCAAATCAATTTGGACGTCGTCTGCAATGGACTCGATGTTATAAAACAATTGCTTTCAGTAAGTCATATGTATTATAATATATTAATTATAAAATATAGTATAGTATCAGATACTATATATATAGTATTTTATACAATAGGATACTATAATATATCTATGTAACAAACATCTATGTTCTCGTCATTCTCTTCGAGTACATATTGCTTTGTTACTAACTTCCAATAGTCAGCTCGTGACGGTAATGGAACCCCTTTGTATACTCGCGACTTCAACTTTTTGGGAATGGACCCATTCTGTTTCCAAGTCTCGAGCATCCGTTTCCACTTCACTGCTCGGGTCTCTTCGTGCTGTATTTGGGAAGGGGTAAGTGTCTCACACTTTGAAATTTGATCGACGCCCTCCTCGAGGAAAAATCCAAAACGATTTCCGGCGGGTGGGGGGAGTGGAGATATTGTGTGGTCGTCGACGTTGTATTGGGCAAGTAAGTTAATCATGCCAATAAAATTACAAGTTTATTTTATTTATTTATTTTCCTTTTTTGTTCCTCTTTCCATCTGAATTTCGACAACAAGAGCGATAGTCTTATTGCACTATTTGGTGGGTTTGAAAAAAAAAGAGAAATGGGACATACTCTTGATGTCTCGTTTTTTTTGGGGTCGATAAAACAAATTTTATGCCAAAAATGAAGAAAAGAAAACCTCTCTATTTTTTTCGGTTGTTTCCACTCTTTGAGCTTTTCTGTTTTTTTTGCCAGTGTACTTAAAAACAGAATTTTTTTGATGTGTTCAATTTTTACAATTAATATTAGTAAAATTCTAGTTATAGTATGGAATTTGTGAAGTTCTAAAATAAAATAAAAAATGTAATGTTTGACAATTCTTTTTATAATTTTTTTATATAACTACCTAAATCATTGACCAAAACATAACTTTATTGATTTATATATTAAAAAAATAGTTATAGTATACTATTCATTTTGATTTATATTAAAATTGAAGTATTTATGGGAAAACAAAGTAACGATTATTGTATATTTATAATTATGTATAACAAACCCAAAAAAAGACTAGAAAAAACTCTCTATTCTGTTGTTTTTGAATTAACTGTTTTTTTTACATTTGTTTGAGAAAAGTTTATATCTAAATTAAATTATTAAATTTGAATAAAAAACATTATTCAATTAATTATAATAAATAGCAATAGTTATTAAAATGTATTAAGTACTTTTGTCAAAACTAATACATAAATATAATAAAAATTTAGTTTATTTATAACAATTATTAAAATTATAAAAGTAAAAATATATACCATGCAGAATACTACTATTTCGAATATAATAAAATAAACTATAGTAATATAATACATAAAATTACTTATTTTATTTTAATAAAAAAAAAATAAAAAATTGAAAAATAAAAACCCTTAAAAAAAAATAAAAAAAATAGCAAGACCATGTCAAACCCCATTGAATCCACACCACCTTCCAATCCAACGTTCCAAGAAATTGGTTTACTTCCCGAGGTGATCAAAGTAGTTGAACATTTAGGCTACAAAATGCCGACTCCCATTCAAAGTAGTAGTATTCCCGTCGCGTTGAAACGGAAAGACATAATTGGTATAGCTCAAACGGGGTCTGGCAAAACTGCTGCTTTTTTACTTCCGATGTTAAATCATTTATTAAACACGAATGAGCGCAAGCGGGATTTCTTTTGTATAGTAGTGGAACCAACCCGTGAATTAGCAGCACAAGTGATAGAAGTGTTAGATCGTATGGCGGAGGCGTTACCTGGTTTAGTTTCTTGTTTATTAGTTGGAGGGATGGATGAGATGAAACAAGCGGTTCTGTTAGCTAAGAAACCAAATGTGATTGTATGCACTCCCGGTCGTTTAGTGTATCACATTAATAACACAAAAGGGGTATCTCAATCGCTCCAAAAGACTCGTTTCCTAGTGATCGATGAAGCCGACAAGTTACTTGATATGGACTTTGCAGCGGATATTGACAAATTGATCGAGAGTGTTCCGAAGCAACGAACAACTATGCTCTTCTCAGCTACTATGTCAAGTCGTGTCGAAAAACTTCAACGCGCGTCGTTAGTCCATCCCGTCAAGATCAAACAATCGGAACAAAAGTACTCGACTGTGGACACCTTACGACAAGAGTACCTCTTCATCCCTTTCAAATACAGAGATGGCTATTTAATGGCAATACTCCAAAAGGTCGGTGCACAGAGTGCAATCATTTTCACTATGAAATGTAGTGGAAACACTCGACTTGTTTTGATGTTACGACAACTCGGGTACGAGGCAATTCCACTGAACGGCAAAATGTCGCAACAAAAGAGACTTTTGGCCTTAGAGAAATTTAAGAGTGGCAAGAGAAGTCTGTTAGTAGCGACGGATGTTGCGTCGAGAGGGTTAGATATCCCCGACGTCGACTTTGTCATCAACTACGATTGCCCGGTCGAGCCTAAAGACTATATCCATCGTGTCGGACGAACAGCGCGAGCCGGGAAAAGTGGGATGGCCATAACTATAGTCACACAATACTCTTTAGAGTTTTACCAACGTATTGAGACGATGATAGAGAAGAAGTTGGATGAGTATAAAGTTGAGGAACAAGTCGCAATGTCCTATGTGAATAGATGTAGTGAAGCGATGAGAGTCGTGAATCAAATATTAAAGGATGAAGCCAGTAAAGAGAAGGAACGGATTAAAGACAAGAACAAAGGAAATGCTGATGAAGAAGACTGATTGATTTAATTTTTTTAAGTTCAATGTATAAATGGAACTTTTAATGACTAATACGTCAATAGATGAGAAAAATCAATAAATAAAGAATAGAATAATAAAACTAAAAAGTATAGTTCGTGATGTGCGATACACTTCACTCGCGTTTTCAATTCATCGCAAAATTGGGTGCGGGGACGTACGGAGTTGTCTACAAAGTCAGGGACACGCAGAAAAACAGGATCGTCGCGATTAAAAAGTTTAACCTTGAAAATTTGGATGGGGACGGGATCACTTCATTGGGGTTACGAGAGGTCTACATCAGCTCGACACTTCGACACAAAAATATCAATCAGTTTGTCGTCACTTTTTTGACTTTGTGATATTCATAAACATGGTCTTAAGTATTAACGTGTAGAATCTTGGGAGTCTATTCGACAACAAATGAACTGTCTACAGTCATGGAATACTGCGACGGATCGCTACGACAGTTAATAGGCAATCCAAGATTTGTGAACATCCGTATCATTCGCTACCTTTTTAAGCAGATTTTGACGGCACTATTGTATTGCCACGAGCACCGAGTGTTCCATCGAGATCTGAAGCCGGAGAACATATTTGTTTTAAAAGATCTGACCGTCAAACTTGGCGACTTTGGTATGGCTCGCATGATGGGAGACTCTTGTTTCAGAGGATACACTGCAGAATGTATTTGCGACGCGTACGCACCGCCCGAGATGCTTGGAATCTATGACAACGAAACGACCCTTTATAAACCAAACTATAGTGAAAAGGTCGACATCTGGGCGGTCGGTGTGATGTTCAGTGAGATGATGGGGAGCACCGTGAACATTCAAAAGTTACGGATGTTCCCACATAAATTCCAATTGATAGAGGTCTTTCCTCTTCTTATCAACGAGGAAGACTTCAGCATGGCAACTGGAATGCTTCAAATGGATCCACGACAGAGATCATCAGCAAAGAGAGTGTTACAGTCCAATTTCTTCTTACAAGAAGAGGCGTGCCCGCTCTAATTCCGCTTTCATTTCAGACAGTCAACTTTACTCGATACATCTACCTCTTAATTGATTCTACTTGAAGAGTCAAAACATTTTCTATTTTAATAGTTAAATGTATGATTACATAACTATCAATTAGCATCTCAATAGACAATAGATAACAAAAAACAAATTAAAGTAGTCAAGCTTCGGTGTCTGGCTTAGGGTTGAGCATTCCACAGTCTCCAAAACAGTTTTTGCCGAATGTCACAGTGTCTTTGACTGTGCATGATCGAAGCTTCCGACAATTAAAGAAACAGAAGTCGTCAATCAGAGTCACTGAAGTTGGTATTTGGATTGATGTGATGTCTGCCCCGAAGAAACACCCATGTCCAATTTCTTGGACCCCAAGAGGAACTCCCACTGGAAACACCAGTCGGTCTTCTTTAGTAAATACTATGTCCAAGCATTTTACGTTGTTTTTAAGAAGAAGTTGAGCAATTCTGAATGGGACTTTTGCACTAAAAGTGCTTTGATGCGGATTTGTTTCTATTTCTCGTAATGAATCACAGCCAGACACAACGTTCTCCCCAAAATGAATTAATCCACAGGGGAGTACTACTTTACTTAGACTACTACAATTAATAAAACACTCCCCTTCAAGACTCGTCACACCCTTTGGTAACAAAATTTCTTTTAATTCATCGCAAAATGCGAAAGCGTGGTCACCTATCACTTCCAGTGTATTGGGGAAGTTGATCGCACTGAGAGCTTTACAATTCTCGAAAGCGGATTTCCGAATGAAGCGGACGTTCTCTGGAATTGTGATGGAGACAAGACTCCGGCACCACAGAAAGCAGTTCTCTGAGATCTCTTCAATGAAATTTGGTAACACGACTTCTTTGAGGGAGTAGTCACACATGAACGCACCGTCCTCGATGATTTTAATCGAGTCGGATAAGACCACCCCCTCAAGCCGAGTGCACTTTGAAAATGCTTTTGTGTCGATCTCGATCACACTCTTTGGGATCTTTAGAGTGTCAAACATACACCCCGCAAAGCATTCCTCCCCCAATATTTTAATGTTTTGCGGTATAACATTCCCATGAACTTCTCGGTCAGAAGCAGTGAACTCGATCTCGGCACACTTTGTGATGTTCATCGATATCAATTTAGCGACGTGATAGCTCACAAGCCCTCGATATATCCTGCACTGGGTATGGACCTTGACTAACCCAACACAATTGTTGAAACACCCTTTCCCGATAAACTTAAGTTTACTCGGGAGGGTGAGGGACGTCATTAATGAGCAATTTGCAAAGGAGTGGTCTCCAATCAACTTCACGGTATTTGGCACATTCAGTTCTTTGAGTCGCCGACAATTGGCAAAGCACCTCCTCTTCATTTCCGATATGCCGCCAAGTGTCACCGCAGTCAGCCAGTCGCAATTTTCAAAGGCGGACTCCCCAATTGAAATCAGTGATTTGGGTAACGCGATACTCTCGAGCGTGTTACTAAACATTCCTTTGAAGAGTATGTGGGTCACCCCATACCCAATTTGAGTTGGTTTCGGAGACGTTTGCGTGAACGTGACTGTTCTAAAATCGCAGTTTTCGCAGTTGTGAGCGAGAAAGAATGAATAGTCGACGGAATATCTATACACATATTGTTTATATCTTGGCGATGGTAAATCTTTGGGGGTATACAAATGCTGTTCCTCGATGGAAGGAAAGAGTTTTGTTTCGGAGATGGGGTTGAACCGATACCCATCCACAAAGTCCTGAAACTTTTTGGAGACAAAAGTGATGTGAATGAAGTCTGCGCGAGACTCGAAAAACAGGCCGACTCTTCGCACATCACTCACTGTCAATTTTCCTTTGTACAGTTCGGCCGTTGTATGAATTACGTCGGAAGACTTCGACATCGAAAATTCACTCAAAGTGCTTGTGCTTTCTGTGGTTGATGTCTCTTCGGTATTCATGTCTTTTTTAGTCTTTCTTTACTCTCTAATTTGTATTTTGTGTGTAGTTCATTTATTTTTTCACATGGTATTCAAGTATAGTTTATTTATAGTTTGTGTATTAGTTTTTACTTAAGCTTATTTTTAAGAAAAACACTTCAAGGTTCTGTTATTATTAAAAATAGTTAAGTTTTACTATGAAAGAAGTAAATCATTATATTATATTTCCATGGCATTTTGTTAAAATTAAAAAGTAACTATTTCTTGTCGAACATTAATAAAGAATCAAATATTACTTTATTTTAAACTTGTTGAAAGGCTATCAAATTATGCATTTTTGCTTTTATAATTGAATTAAACTATTTGATTATAATTAATTTATCAAACAATTATAGTTTTATCTTTTTCTTTTTTTATTAGAACAATGTTTTTGTAAGCCTAAATCATATTATTCTGTTCTAATAATTATTAATTTCGATTTGAGTTTTGTTGATGATATTCCAAACTAACACAAGTAATTGTTACAATTTTAATCAACTTTTTTCTTGGAGTAAATTAAATATTATTATTTTTTATTTATATCAACTAGTTAATAAATAAATTATTAAATGTTTTTTTTTGTGAATTCAACAATTTCATTGAAGACATTCTATTAACTTTGAGTCATTATATTTGTCTTCTCAAAATGATAATGTTACCGTACCAAAAGTTTTTTTTTAAATTGTTACTTCTTCTAAATCTTATTTATTTTTAATACTTATTAGTGAGAAAAAGTGCAAAAAACACTTAAAACATTTTCCATTTTTTTCAAAGATTAAGAATATAAGAAAAAATGAAAAAAAATTATTAGATATAAATAAAAAATAATAATTTAGATTATGGTTTTTATTGAGTTTCACTTTTTTTTAGTAAGCTGTAATAATTTTATAATTATTGTTTTTATTTGATTTAAAAAGATAATGTTTTTATATCAAAATATTGTATAGTATAAAAAACCAAAAAATATTTTGTTATTTTATAATCCAAGTACTTTCCAATTGAACTGTTTAATTTGGAAAACAATTATTATATCTGATTATTAGTTGTTTTTAACACAATTTTTTATTATTAATTTTAACAATTACAAAAAATTTTGTAATTATTTGTAAAGTAAAGTAATTTTGAAAAAAAGGTGAAAAAAAAATTTAGATGATTTCATAATGTAACTACTATATATCAATTGATGTCTACAGCCTTTATTTAATATTATTGAGAATAAAACACAACTAAACTTTTCAATATATTTAAACATTTAATAATTTGGATATTGTAAACAATAAAATTTTTACTGCCGTTATTAAATTTTTATATTATTATTTACATAATAAACTATAAGCATTCAATAGTTTCTTTTTTAAACAATATTAAATTATTATTTCATTTTAATTAATAATATTCACTACTATTCGGCTTATAATTTGCATATATATGCAATTGAAATGTTCATAGTTTGTTAATTTTTTATATGATCGTTAAATCAATACAAAGATTAATCACTTTAATTTTGGTATTAAATTTATTATAATAATTTAATAAACATTTATTGTTTGTAAATTAAAGGTCATGTATCAGTTTTTATAATTAAGCAATCGTTATAATCAGTTTGAATATGCAATGTAAATATTATACCATTTGTATTTTTTACAAATAAAACAAATATGTGATAAATATAACATTGCAAACACCATCCCAATCAAAAAAGAAGTAACAAAGGAGAAGTAAATTAAGTATTGAGAAGTAAATTTTAATTTTCACAAAGGTCAACTCATTTTAATTAACAATTTTTGTTATTAAAAACATAGTTTGTTATATATAAAAAACATTTCAATGTTATTAAAACAATTGGCCAAAATTCAAATATAAAATATTGTGTAAAAAGTTATATTTTATATTTGTTATATATAACAATTTGTGAAAACAATTAATAATATATTAAAATATACTATAAATATACGATAATTAAAACAATTAGATTTTTGTAATCTAATTTATTTTTATTGATTGTTTTCCTTGAAGAAAACCAATTGTAAATTATAAAGAAATAAAAAGATAATCATATCTAGAATCATTTCTTTTATTATTTTTTTCCAAAAAAATTACTATAAAATATAACTTATTCATATTTTTATTATAATTAGTTATAAACAATTCAACAAATTCTATCTGTTCTATTCGTTATTTTTTCTCTTTTTAATCCACGAAAAAAATCAACAATTGAAAATAGAAAACTTTACATCCAAATTTGTACTTAAATCAATAAATTATTTTAAATGTGTGAAAAAATATGCCACAAAATCGGGATATTTCCCTAAAATTTTGAAGTAAAAAACGAACCCTAAACATGCAACAAAAAAGTTCAAATAAAAACCAATCGAAAGAAGGAAAGAGAGTCGAGTTGTTCGGGAGTTTGAATGCATGGTATAATTATAGTAAAAGAACTATAATTAATCTACAAATGAAACAAAAAAAGAGGAACAAAGAAATTCAGTGAGAGATGAAACAAGGGAGCCTTGAGCGTGCAATCAAAGTGAATTGCACAACGACTTTATTTTTTGCGCGCCTTGGGAATGTCCGCAAGGATGAATTGAAGTGCTACTGTGAGCAGTTTGGACCGGTCAAAGACATTTCCGTTATGGTCGACCAAGACACTCAAAAGCCGAAGGGGTGTGGCTTTGTCAAGTTTATGACGCACGAAGATGCCAAAAGATGTGTTGAAGAGGCGCCGAAGAAAAACAAAGGCGACCCCATCAAGAAGAATTGGGTGATTGAATGGGCCAAGTCATCACAGATCAAAGAGGGGGATTTGGATAAGACTACACTATACATATCGAACTTGAATAAAGAGACTAATGTCGAGGATATGCTTCGAGCCAAATTTGGGATGTATGGGGTCATCGAGAAGATCACGCGAATAGAGAATGCGAAGGGGTCGTTTGCGTTTGTGAAATACGACAAAATGGAGAGTGCAGTGGAAGCAATCAATAAAGAAAATGGGAAGTGGTGGTGTGGCAATTTGATTGTGGTTGAATTTTCAGAGACGATCGAGTCGAAGAGAAGTCGCCGACAAAAGGCGACGATGAAAAAACAGTTTTCGACACATCAAATCAATCAAAGTCACACGTTGCCGGAAGCAAAAGCGTATGACGATAAAAGCGAAGCTTCTACACATCGCGCGACAAAGTCATATACACAATCACTGTCATCACAACAACTCGACGGGTTGTTTCATATACAAGACGGCTTTTTTACATCACAGTCACCATCTCCTAAGTCTACAGCGATCTCGAGTCATAAACATACCACTTCACAACCGTTTGATAAACACATCAACTCCATTTCACCATTTGATATGCTCTCGCCTCGCGATAATGACGACTCCGAAAGTCTCCCAATTTTCAGAGAACTTGTCACCCCATCCAACGGAAAAAAGACCACGTTTTGATTTTGTTGATACTTCAAATCACTTTACTTCTTATTTGTTTAACACTACAATGATCGTTTTATTATTGACACAACAAAGTCATTTAAAGAAAAACACCATCGAAGACTTAAACAATGGGTGATAAACATGGTTTCAACAAAGGTACTTGTTGAATCAATTTTTTAGTTCATAATAAGGGGAATTGAATATAAACTAGTATTGGTAATTTCTTTGTTAATACACTTATTTCAATTGTTTTCTTTTAACATCTTTTTGTTCCAAATAATATGCATTTGAGTTTTTTTTATAGATTTTTACTTTACTACTGTTTCAATGGTTGAAGACAGACCCTTTACAAAACAAATTAATTGTATTTCAATAACACAACAAGAAATTTAAAAAGTTAATGAAGACATTTTATTAACTGTTATATTGACAACAGATATTCAATTATCATATATAAATGATGATAATTGAATATAAGTTTCGTTATTCCAAATTTATAACGAGATTTGGAATAAAACGTTTTACTTCCAATTCATTTTGTAAAATAAATCAAAAATATAATGTGAAATTATTATAATGCACAAAAATGTAACATCAAACAAAAAGTGTATATAATC